CCTTGCCCAGAGCACTCCCCTTACTGTTGTTTTCATACGCTGCTTTCTGTATGTTTATTTGAAATAACGATAGCAGACGTGAACGTGCTTTGTCATCCTCCAGTTAGCTTTTTTAACCAAGAAACAAATCACAACTGCAAAATTATAGGAAAATATTGATCAGTTAAATAAAGCCAAGTTTTACTGATCAACGGACCAGTTGGACCAAAACACTACATAATAATTCTGATTTTATTTTCATAGTAGTAGCGATAGGTAGCTTAGCTCATCTCAGCTTTAGTTTTGTTGCGCGAATCCATAAGGATTATCAATGCCTGATTATGTTGCAGGATGCAGTAAAACATTGCTGTTTTTAAACCACAGTAGGCAATACATATGGACAAGATTCAGGAAATAGTTTCCAGTCGTTTACGCGCAGTTCTAGGGGACATCAAGAAATGCAAATATATAATAGGGTCATTTGAGTGGTGCGTTTGCGCAAGCAGTAACCCAGAAGCTCTTCTATGATTGCTATAAAACTCACTGCAGGTCGAATTTTAGGGCCCTGAGTGATCTGACTACAAAATATACTCGTCCTGCATTGCTTTGCCGGATGTCGTATAGCAACGTGTTGTATATGATGGAGTATAACCGACAAACACAAGGAAGACCGGAATAGTCAGTTTAGCTTATAAGCCCTCATCAGCCAATCTACGGTGTTGATTGTCTGAGGTTCGCATTCGTGACCTTTTGTGTAACCCCTCCACAACTGCAACGTATTTTTGTCGAATCCGATGGGGTCTATGATAGGGCCCTCATCGATGTGTTTACGGAACACGCTTGTTTCTTCCGGCCTTGGCAACTAATCTAGAGCCCTGTCAGGCAGTCGCATAACGGCGTGTAGAATGCGATGCAGGGGAACCAACAAAGATCGTGTTTGCTTGCTTATTTCTTTAATGTTTTTTGTTTTCCTGACCAGGCATGCGGTGCTTTTCATGCTAAACGTTTCCTAAAAGAAATGCTGCGCAATGTTGCCAGTTTGTTATGCTTAAGACGAGGGAATGATTTTAATACTGTTTCAATTTCAGAGAGGAAAACACCGCCTTATTCGAACCTAGCGAATACTTCTCAAAACATCCTATTGCTCTGCTGCTGCAATGCCTTAGCCCGCGACTGTTATTGCTTTTGATCGGTATAAATATCATGGACGCGCACAAAGACCTGCTGGTTAGAGTTCAACGAAACGCTATGAATTTCCATTTCCACTTTAACTTGACAATAGAAACCTAGGTGGTAACCGGACTTTGTTGCAGTTCTGATTCAGAGAACGCGGACAAGCGGCTACAATTGAAGGACAGTTACGAAAATCTTGAACATATTTCGAAAATGTTTCTTTCTGAGTGCATAAATTGAGATGAGTAGCAGGATCAAACAGTGGATCCTTTTTGACTTGCTTTACTGCAGTGCAATGAGTAAGTCTATGTTGCGGCTATTGGTTTGATTGTAGTGATTGAAAAAGGCAGAATATCCGTCCGTTTTAGCCTCGTTTTAATTGTCCTGGTTGTTTATGGCGGACAAGCGTGCCAAAAGAGCAATGCAACCAAACCAGTCATCCCTATTTGCAGGTAGGTCAGTCAGAACTACAAACTTGATATTTGGCATGTGTTCAATGTTGGCTGCTGCACCACAGGAATGCATATTTTCATGTACGAAACTGTACTAAAAATACGAATACACACACTTTGAGACGAGCCAGTTTTGTTTTTAACAGTTGTCGTTAAAGGACAAATGTTAAAGTAGAGGCGTTGCAGTTATCCATACTGTAAAAGCTACCTGTTTTTACCCCAAATATGTTATTGACAAAGAAGATTTCTTGTAAATTTTATCAACCGCAGCCGTTTTAATTGTCTTTAATTTAAAATGTCCCTCTGGTTAACCTTTGCATGTACTAAAGCATGAGAGGTTCCTAGGAAAGATAGGCAGTGTATATAGGACAGTGAGGTGGTACATGTTTTAGTCGTGTAGATAACCTATGCATGTGCAGAGCGCCACAGGTGAAAATAAATTTTTAAACTGCAGCGCAATATTTAAAACAGTAGGGACTTGATCGATTCTTTACGACAGGCATCTTATTGGTCTGACTGTGCGGGGCTAATTATCTACCCGATCTCTGCTATGTTTTTATTTTTCGGAGGTCATATTTTCTACAACTGCACGGCTGACGCACTATCCGTAGATTGGCCAATCAACATTCAGGTGCCGGTTCTCGAAGTGAGTTTCCATCCGCGATTCGATTGCTGCCCTTGCCGTTACTTTGTCTGAAAGAGGACATCATAGGGCGTCTTAAGAATAGGGAATTATATGCGTCTGTTTATGAAAACATCGGCCCTAGAATCACCTTTAAAGCCCGTAAAACGTCACAACTAATAATTGCAGCTTAGAGAAAATCAAAGCGTATAACGAACACCTATTTGTAAATCACAAACTACGAATTACCTTTCTCTTTCAAATTGGTGAATGATTCACCACAGGGAAGGCACTGGCATAAGTCAAAATCTAGAAACCGTGTTAGCAGATCTGATACCACTGCATGACACAGGCCCAAGGGCTTCACTACTCTAGACAGTCAGCCCTACGGCGGTCCTTGTATTCTCTCTGGTTTTTATGTTGGTTTTGAACGTCGCTATGTACCTCAATTTTTGGATTGCGCCCGCATGATTTTTTTCGATGGCTAATTACTTTCGGAGAAAATTGGATTAATCAGTAGTTTTTTTAATCGAGATGTCACACACGCGTTTCCGAAAATGCATCATCGCACCTTTATAGTTACATGCCTCGTTCATCATGCCTCAATAGAGATGACAAAGAAAAGAAGGCGCTGTCATGACGTTTTGGAAATACTCTATCTTCCATGAATAGAGTAGTCAGATGTGTGTTGCTGCTTGTCGGGAATTGTAATGCCGCGCCGATTGTCGCGTATTTGGACCAGGCCTGAAGTCCGGCCTCTGACGTTCCTCCTCTCTGCGGATTGGCCCCTCCGTGGCGAAATGCCGATGATGCGGTGTGTCGCCTGTCTCCTGCATGGCTGTTGTGGTCGCCGATATGTCTACTGGAGTCTGGTATAGAGGGTCTTGTAGGCCGGATTTAAATCAATATTTCTGTTGATTGTTCCAACCGAGGGACAGGTTTCGAACACCCGTCTGGCTACCTTAACATTGGCTCGACGTTCCTGAAAGGTAAACTATGATGATCCCGTTCCATGTGGACATATGCCAGTGACGTATGCGTGTGAATATCTATACTCGCGATTGTCTGCAAGTTGGTAATCATGCCGTCTTGTGCAGAGGCATTTACCCGTTTCACGAACATACATTGCACTGCATTTTTGGCACGGTATGCTGTAGACCACTGCAGATTGTTTCCTTGCCGGTAGCGGGTGCTTGGGTTTCATTATTTGCTGTCGCGTGGTTGAACCCAGTTTATAGGCCACCCAATTCCGAAAGAGTTCAGAAGCCGACCCGTCGTTTCTGAAATATTCTTCACGTAGGGGATCGCGAGCGAAAACTTGGGATTTTCCTTGTTTGCTCGCTTCCGGCGGGCTATCGTCGGCACTCACAGATGAAGCACCGCGGATAATCTTTAGATATAAATAAGGGATTAAGGTATCTCACCTTCACCTTTTTTCCGCTCGTCATCGCTACAGTGCGTTTGAACGCGTTGGAATAGATTTCTAACACAACTGCCCATCAAGAGAATTAGTGGTTTTTTCGGAATTGCAGGTTTCGTTTGATATTTATTGACTTACGATAAACCGTTGTTTAATTCCTCCTTTCGGATGTCCTCTTGACTTGTGCATCCAGAAGAGGCAATTAGTGATTACGTTTCTCTTATATCGTAAATTGTACGTCGGGGAATATAGAGTTCCGTAAGCTCTTAAAGCGCTGAGCGTCGTTCATTTTGATTACGACAAATGCGTCGTCGACGTACCTTGTCCAAGTTTTGGACAGCAAGTAGGTAAGACTAGTCGCTCGAGCCTCTTCAGGACCACCTCGGCAATAAGCCCCGACAGGAGGGGAGCGCATCAGGGTTTCCTTCTTTTGTTCATAGACCTGGTCGTTGAACTTGAAAAAAGTACTGACGCTCAATTTCAACAGTTCGGTAACGTGCTGTCGGTTAAGTTGCTGGTCATCGTCCCCAAACCTATCGGCAAGAAGCTCGTCAATAGTGCTTACAGCAAAACCAGTTGGAATAGAAGTGAGTAAGAATACCATCTCAGACGAGAAAATCAGCTCATCTGAATGCATCTCTAGATGCCTGATATTCCTTGGACACTGTTCAGCTACCTTAAATGTATATTCAAAATTCTCCGTCAGGAAACGAAAACGCTGGAAGTGCCACTTTGACATTCCGATCGTCGTAGGGTCACGCAAGTAGACGAAGGTGCGAAGGTACACTCCTGGCTTATGCACTTTTGGCAGACAGTAGAAACGCGCAATCGCGGCATCTGTGGCTTTTGCCGTCAGAGCTCCCTTCTTTTGAGCACCTTAGACTTCTTAAACTTCGCCCCGTTGACGCTGTTTACGCGATTTTTGAACTCTTCGCCTTCCGAAAGCTGGAAGACACCTTCGTCTCCCAACAGACCTTGTACTCCGTCTAATGCACGCCCACCGTCGAGCGTCCCTGGTCGGCAGGCAGAGTGCCGATATATTTCATCTTTCGGATTCCCAGAAGTTCTCGGCTTTATGCTTCGGAGATCATCGTTTGAGCTTTGTGCTGGAGGAGGACAGTTGACACTTGCTGTCGCATGTTTTATTGTCCTATTCTGTTTGTTTGCTTCAAAATTCTGAAGTTCTGATTTGAAAGAGGCCACAAAGTCCACTGAAAGATAATCCCTTGTGTTGAATATAGTGTTGAGTGAGTGTAGGGGGTGAGAGTTTATGGACCAGGGCCCTAACAGTACGGGACAAAATGTTCTTACAATCTTATGAAGCAGATTATTGTCCTATAACCGTCGTTGACTTTGCGCGGTATTGAGTACGCATGTCACATGTACCATAAATATATCAAAAATAAACCTGCTATTACAGTGGCTAATGTGTAAGACTACCTGGTTTCACACGGTTCACATGCCAAAGTTAAACGATTGTTTCTTTACACTGCATAATGTTCGTTCATTTTAAGGAATGTTCACAGACGTAAACATGAGTCACCATCCTGCCAGCAAGCTTATTTATTCTTACGATCTCTACAACCGTTTCTTGACACAACATTGTATCTTTAAAAACTTGCACAATTATGAATAGTGTATTGTTTTTTGTATTGCCTTCATCCCTCGCAGTTATCAATTTATACGATGCCTGGGGACGTACGGGTTTGAACTACATGATCTTCCAAAAATATGTAATTGCGTGGAACGGAATTGCAAGGAGAAGTGCCGTGATAAAAACAATTGTGATTACTTATTTCAAACGAACCTCGACGACTGTGCATGGGAAGTTTTTGGGTGATCGCTTCGCTGCACCCCAAATCTGCATCAATTATCTCCCTTCCTTGGGTTTTGGGAAATATTTCTTCCAGGTGTGTGCACCCTGCTTTATAAATAAAACCCACTTTAACCGATCACTGGACCAGTTGGCCCAGTCGACCCCTTTATAATTCTGATTTTATTTTAAATATAAAGAGCGGTAGGTTGCGTATTTCAGGTCAGATTGGGAAAGAAAGAAGTGCAATTTAGACTCCAGTAATTGGTGCACGTAGTATGAGGATATGCCAGGCTTATTTGGAAATACCTTATCTTTCCGTGCGCATTTTGAACTTCCTGAGGAAATGTGATTTCAGAGAGAAACAACTAGGGAGGTGTGTTCGCACCTCAATGAAGTCGTCTGTGGGACCATCATGTAGCTGAAACTAAAGTAAACAGTCATCATGGATGGGAGTGTGGTTAGTTAGTTGCTATGAGTAGAATATGGTATGCTTGGCTTGCGAGATAGAAAGCTTTTGTCGAATTGCAAGGATATATTTTCCGACACGATTGCCTATCCAATGTGACTTACAGAATGCTTTTGTTCAGAACATTCAAGCTCTTTTCGTTAGGATCCCATGCATAGAATGTTTGTTCTTTGATAGAAAACTAAGCTAAACCTGTTTTAAAACCGTATTTTGAATGAAGAGCGTCCACAGTCCCAAAATTTACGCAAACACAAAAAATTTCTTATTTTAGTTGA